AAGCGGAAGTAACTGCTCAATTAGTTGTTATTATAACTGATCCAGCGTATCGAGCGTCCGCCAGCGTTTTAGCGCCAGCATTCCAAGCGCCCAAGAGCGTTTTTAGCGCTTTGAGCGACTAAAAAGGTATGGGTATCGGTTACCGCTGAAAACGCCGACGGATACTCAAGACGGTGGCGGACGCCCAAAACACCAAATCGATACGTGTACTTCCCCAATCACTCAAAACTGTGCCGCTAATTATGAAAGCACACGTGACTACCCAAATGTACAGTTTTCCAGAACTTGGAAAGGAACTCGAGAGAGATGTTCCCGTGTGGACCTGCTCAAAATTCCTGTGGTCAAATCTAGTCGAAATCTCCACGGCGGTACCCTGACTCCTTAGACAGGAATCCACCCGCTGGCGTGGAAATGCATGGCGCCGCGCTGAACAAGTGTGACATTCGTGTACAACGCCCAATTACACACACCTGAGAGCGACTTTGATAACTAAGTGTTTCATGGCTGACATAAAACTGACGATATATTTGTTCTAGGGATTAAATTATTCAACTAAATTCCACCGAAATCTGAGCGGTTTTCAAAAAAATTGGGCAATAGAAGGAAGTCCCCATCATTAGTTTTGAAGCAAAGAAAGTAGGAACAAAAACCAAACAACAAACTGAATCTATGCAAAGACACACCGAGTTTCCACGTGGAAAATCTTTTGAGCATTCCAAATTAAACGCTGGAGATTACATGGCAGCACAATCTTCGCATCACCAGTAGGGAATATCTTTCGAAGTAATCTGCGATCCTCCTCCAGTTGTTGGAATTCCGATTCCAACTGAAACAGAACAAAATACCACTGATTCTTTGCAAAAAAAAGAGCTATAACCATGAATTTACCTCTTTCGTGGCTTCCGGTGAGGCTTGCAATTCACGCACCAAGTCTTCTGTGTAATACTTACGAAGCGACTTTTCGTCGGAGAGATCGTTCTGAAAATAGGATTAAGCATTACCACGAAGAAAATAGGACCTGAACTCTTTCCCATATTGTAGTCGAGGCAAGTATCACAGTTAGTTATGTATTTGATGTTTGCGAGATTTTACCTTGAAATCCCTTTCGAAAAGCATGTTTGTAGGCTTCATAGTGGGCATGCTCTGGTTTTCTACCCACATACCGTCAAGACCATCTTCACCATATCTCAGCTGTATCATTTGGGCCAGTGAGTTTCGAACCTAAGGGAGCATCATTAAATTCATTGCAACATAATAGAAACATAAAGGTATTAGAACTCACTGTTCCATCGTAGTTAACCATCACACTCTCCATAGCTTTGATTAGACGTCGCTGGATATATCCGGTTTCAGCTGTCTTTACAGCAGTATCAATGAGACCTTCACGACCTCCCATAGCGTGGAAGAAGAATTCAGCTGGGGTTAGACCGGCAAGATAAGAGTTCTCCACAAATCTGGAAGATTTGGAGAATTTCAACAAATGCTCATTTGCATTCAATTAGTAGCGATTTACCCTTTAGACTCAGGTCCGTAATCATCTTTGATGAAATGTGGTAACGTTCTATGGCGGAAACCAAACGGAATTCGTTTACCTTCAACGTTTTGCTGTCCCACACAAGCAATGACCTGAAACAAATTCCAGCAAGGTTCAAGCTAAATTCCAGCTCGTTACACTACTTTAGAACTTCTCAATGATACTGCATATCACACCCACCTGAGAAATATTAATTTTTGATCCTTTCGAGCCGGACACTACCATAGATTTGAAGTTATTGAACTCTGAAACAATGTAATAAACATCGAAAATGATTGTGACAAAAAGCTACACAACTTACCGGATAGTGACTTCTGAGCAGAACTTCCTGTTCGGTCACGGGCGTCATTAAGAATCCTGTTCACTTTGTTTTCGAAAGTTTGACGCAGAGTATTACCAGGTGTGGGCTCCAAGTCATCATTGTGAGCTCTTAATTCCACGATTTAATGAATCAGTGGAGGAATGTCTCACCTAAAATAGGCCCTACTTTTCAATGACATCAATCACATCGAGCTTCGCTTTTCTAATCGTTTCCTGGATATCACGATATGTCGCCTGGTCAGCAATGGTATCCCCTGAAAAGATATGGTATTTCTTGAGTATAAGGCAATAAGTCAAGCACTGAAGACATCTTTCGGAATCGCCTGGAGGGCGAGGCTTCCTAACGACTTCTTTGGCACGCTCCTTCTCGTCCCGCTTTCTTCAGCACCATAGAGAATCGGGAAGAGGAGCGGCATGCCAAACGTCGGTCTTTTACTCCACCCTCCCGGAAAAATTGAACGATGTATATAAGCTTGCGAAAGCGAAGAATTGCAGAATTGGAGAACTGACGAAATGAATAGATACGTATCGATCGAAATGCAGAAATGCAGAGTTGAAGAATCGCGGGGATTGATCAATACGTATCTACCCCCTTTTCCTCCAATTCCGCATTTCTGAAATTCTTTACTGTGGCGAGCTATAAACGCGGCCTAAGAACGAGAAAAACAACAAGGACGCACCGATTCCAATAGTGTGACCTTCTCCAATGAGCCATGCGTTAATTACAGTTTGGATGTGGGAATAAAATTTAGCCGCAACCTGGAAAATCTCTGCTACATGAACAAGGCACAGATTCTCAAGTAAGCCGAATATTACTCACTTCATGACCCAATTCCAAAGCAACTACGTGCAGAAGATTACCAGCTGATCGTCCGACAGTTCTCGAACAGACAATACCAGAAATGAGTTCTCCGTGTTCAACGAGTACCTACGAGATGACCAGTATGAAAGCAGCGGAAATACAAAAATACGGTGAATATAAAAAAACCTTCAAGGGAGACTCACTTTAGTATCACCGGGAGAAATCCATTTATAGGGGCCGCTGTCTTCGTCATCAGGATGAGTACTGTGCGTTCTTAACACGTTTACATTTCCCGGAATGATCAACGAGAAAAGCTGCTTTCCCGTCCAAAGCGGTTTCGGCTTCATGATCGCCGGTTGTGGAACTTTACCCTCCCATGACGGTAAATACATCAGAAGGTCCATCATTTTTGGCTAAACTCATATTTTTTTCTTGTTAAATACAGTTGAACTCACTACAAAACCAAGCTCACATAATCGATGTAAACGTCTCTTTTGGTCATCATACGAACAGCACACAAGGTGTCTTGTACAATACCCATCACAGGTTTGTTGGCTTGAGGAGTGATAAGCTGCCTTAAGCGGAGAATGAATATCACAGAGATATCCAGATGTAAAAACTGCAATAGCGTACCTTGGTACCATTGCAATCTCCTCAATTTCTGCTCTGGTTTCCAAAGACTGAGGAAGATGCAGATTCATTTCGTCTCCATCAAAATCAGCGTTGTACGGCGTGGTCACAGAAAGATTCATACGAAATGTGGACCAAGGAAGGATCTGCAATTTACGGGGTTGAACCCAGCAGTTCCACAAAATTTGGTGATGATAACTACTAGCTAACCTTTACTCTGTGCCCCATCATAGACATTTTGTGGAGAGTCGGCTGCCGGTTGAAAACAATAATGTCGCCATCGCGCATATGCCGCTCTACCCTAGAAAGCTACTATGCATCTCCAATATAGAAATAGTAAAAATTAAAAGACACCTGTAGCCTGGCTGAAGATGAAGATCAGCTGCTCTGGGGTGATACCTCAGATCAACACGAGCGCCGTTTTCTCGGATGATGTATTTTGCGCCGGGATACTGTGAGTCTCCCCTATTTACAAGCTCTTGAAGCCTAGAATATGGAAACATTAAAGATTCAAACTGCTGACATGAGCACGAAAATGCAAAATGGCTAACTTGTCAATGTTGAACGGGGTGACTATTTCTGGGAATGTTAAGTTCTGCGCAATAGTTCTTGGCACACCAACGGTGTCAATCGGCAGGTTTGGATCAGCAGTAATGACAGTTCGTGCAGAGAAATCAACACGTTTACCTGAAGAACAACTGCGACTATTTTGAAACGATATTACGATCACAAAAATAGAAGATATTTCTGTTTTCACAATACTACGACTCACTGAGATGAATTCACAATCGAGCTATTTTCAACAAAGCACTTCACTCTTTGGGGATCCCAGCTATGGAAAGGCGTCGTATTTAGTTGCTGCAGGGAGGACTGCATCCACCTCTGCGAAAAGGTTTCCGGCAGTTGACTTTTCTTGTTGCAATTGCGCTGTACACTTCGCGCTCATCCCCCCCCCTCGCTAAAATTCTGAGCAAGGTCGTATTTTGCGAAGAAATCCCTTCAATGTCAGAACAATTCCGAAGCATAGAGTAACATCCAAAAAATTTGACACATGAAGAGAAATGAGTGAACAAAACAAAATTTAGCAGAGAACAAACCCATAAGGTTTCCTCGGATTCGTCCTTCTTTCCCTTTCAACCGTTGCTTGATAGACTTTAGCGGCCTTCCTCCTTTTTGCGTAGCCTAAAGGAAAGAGAATTAAACTCGTCAAGCGGGAAAAACACGAAACCCTCATAGAAAACCCTCACAGTTGGGAGCCCAGGAATGCAGTTATCGACAAGTGTGGCTACATGATACTGTAGTAATTTCACGTCATCTGCTAAGACGTGAGCGGCTGCACCATTAGCCTCATTACTGCAATAAAGCATTCACGAAAAAGTTCAGTTTGATGAAAGTATTCTGCTCACTTTCTTAATTGAATGTTCGTTTTAATAATATCAGAAAGCTTGTGTGTCAGGTCGTCCTGATTCCTCGCCGATCCAAAAGTAACCACTGCTGGGCGGACTGCAAGCGGAGGGACTGGGAGAACAGTGCAAATCATCCAGTCAGGACGAGCAAAGCGTGGGTCCATACCTGAAGACAAAGAATCAATGTCACAGTACAAATATACGGTGAGCGCAAAGACAGTTTACCTAGAATGATGCAATCCTCGTCAGAAATTTGCTTGAAGATTTCAAGAGCTCGTTCTGCTGTGAGGACTATTTTCCGTTCCTAAAAAACGACTTATTGAGAAATGAAGCACATCATTCATGGAAAAACCACAACAAATCTGGAAAAAAGTCACCTGTGTGTCTTCGTTCACATTTTTCTTCCACTCAGCATTAAGGTCGATTCCAGTACGGCGATATGAAGGCTGATATCGACCGCAACCGCTGGCCTTTATGACTTTCTCTCCATCCTCTCCCTCCTATAAACGATTTCAACATCAGGTTGAAATTTCAAGAAAACACAATCAGATATAGAACGAAAGAAGGCGCTAACGTTGGTTGGTTCGAAATAAAGCAGGGTGCCCCTGGCATTTCTCGGTCCCTTTCCCCTATGCAAGACTTAGGTCGAGCGCAAACGACCAGAGGCGCTGAAAACTCCTAAAATTCCTGCAGAGAGGGCATAGTCTCCAATGAGCCCAAGCCAATTCGGGAGGGGAACAGAGGCTCTCCCTGACCACATTAGCCCACAAAAATATAGTGCGAATAAATTTTCAAAGGAAATAGTACCTCAGGATTCACATTCTCAATTTCATTTCCACCATCACAAACGACCTTTGACTTGCACATATCATAAATTAAAGTGAACCTCCTCCGAGGGTTACCTTAAAAAGTGTAATTGATTATTTGAAAAATAGAAGCGTTTATGTTTTTCATGTTTACCTTGTGTTTTTCTTATTATATCTTTTACACGTTTATTATCTTTATCTAGCAGCAATTTACTACAGTAGAAACAAACACACCGAAGAACCTGAAAGAATACAATTTTGCTTTCTTCAGAAAAGAAAACAAGCAGAAAACATACTTTCAATATTTTTGTGAGAAAACCAATATGAAATACTGGTCTTGCAAGTTCTAAATGTGCAAAGTGTCCAGGACAGTCAGCCAAGTTGCCCGCACAGGTCATACATCTGAAAGGAACGCAATCAACTACGCGTCAAAAATAGGCAAAAACGGTACATTGAATATATATTTTCGTTCATAACTTATAAATCCGAACTCGGAAATGTTGAGGAAAACAACTGTAACTTAAAAAACGCATGCCTTCCTCTGCGGTCAATGACTCCTTGCCGAGGATCCATCAAGCCTCCTTTTTTAGGTTTACCATTCTCGTATATTTCCGGAAACTCGATTTCACCAACGGACATTCGTTTCTATAAAATGGAAATAAGCAATTCGTTGGAATTAAACTAAAGTTGAGATATCCCTAATAACGGTTCAAACATGATAATGGAAACTTACAATTTCATCTGGGCTTAAGATTCCAAACTGAACTCTCTTAACTTCCCTCAAAGGTGCGCGGAAGTCTATTCCCACGAGAGCCATTTTTATATGGAATCTGAAACGAACTGAACACTTAAGCAATCACCTCTGAGTACAAACACTGTCAACGCATTCCATCAAAAAGTCATATAAAAATTTGCCTAGCGAGTCGATACACACCAAATTTAGGGCCTGAGATGAACTCGAAAGCCAAATATGAGAGGTCAATAGCAAAACTTCCTCTCACGTGAAGAATGTGAAGCTCGCAAAAAGCTTCAACTCTTCGAAATTGTACGCGAGCAGACGCGTCACGTACTGCGATTGGAGCGCGAAATTTTGCGGCCTTCACGAGGAGTGGAGGCGTTTGCCAACATTGATCAGTGCATGTCTTGCCGTAGAAAAAAAATTATGTGGAATTCGATTTTTCTGAAATACTCGCCGTCCTCCTTTGGTACAACTTCCCATCGTGCCTATACCCCTTTGATAAGTCTTTTCAATTCCAGTGTTTTTCGGAAAAAAAACTGCCATCGAGGGACATGGGGTATAAGAGCACATGAAACGAGAAAACCAAACTGAGAAAAGCCAGAAACGGAGAAAATTTTTCTCGAAGGCAAATACGACCCACCCCCTTCCCCCACTTTCATTTTCCTTTTTGATCGCCTGACCTTCAGCCGCCACTAGAGTTATATGGTGATTGTCCCGGAGTGTCAAAGAAAGCATGAGACGAAGTGCTCTGGAAAGCGAAAAAAGGTTTTGATATAAGTGTCGGGCATCCGTTGAGGAAACTTCAATAGATTATTTGCATT